AAATTTTGTAATATTGTTTAATTATTAAAGTATATATATATATGTATGTATGTGTGTGTGTTTGTGTGTGGGTTACCCTATGAGGTATGTTGATTGACATGAGAATAATCTGTACATGTGTGTAATGATGTATATTGTGACTAGACTGAAATAGATTAAATATATATGTATATGTATATGTGTGTATGTGTATACAGGCTAAGTATGAATGTTGCTGCAGGGCATTCTCGCTATAGCGAGAGGGCCTTGGGCATGAGGCATGAAACTGTGCCGTTCTCGCTGTAGCAAGAAGGCACTGGGAGAAAGAGGTGAAACTGTTGCCTTGTCGTTGTAGCGAGAGGTCCCTCGCTGTAGCGACAAAGCCACAATTTGGACTGCATTTTGGGTACTGTCTCGCTGTAGTGAGATTCTCAAAATTTTCGCTGCAGCGAGAGAGAGTGTCGCTGCAGCGAGGTCTCGTTGTAGCAAAAGTGTCGCGACTATAAAGGGATTTAAAGTTAGGGTTTAGGAAAGTTTCATTCCTCACTTTCCCTTCAAGATCTCTTCGATTCTCTCGACCCAAAACCTTATTTCACCGATTAAATTGTCTCTAAGCCATTTGGGAGCAAGATTGAAGGTTAAAATTGTGTGGAGAATGTTTGGAGGTAAGTTTTAATGGTTAGGGTTTCAGTTTTTCATCCTCATTCTCTTATTTCTTGGTTTTCCTTGGTTCTTATGAGAAGTTCTCGTGTATTTAAGACTAAGTTTGTGTGGGGAGCCTTCTCATTGCTGATTTTGTGTGTGAGTCTCCATTTGAGGTAAGGGGGGACTCTACCCTATCTCATTTTGCTTGAAACCTGTTTATTACTATGTTTTGTAATGTGATTGAGATAGATAATGTGGAGTGGGTATGATTGTCATGATTAGAGTGGATTTTTATGAAGAATTGATGTTAAAATGTTGTGTGTATGAAATGGACATGTGTGTCGTGTGTGGTAGAATGAATGTGGACACTTGTGCCGTGTATGCAAATGACTATGGGCCAATGTGCCGTGTAATGTTAATGACTATGAATATTGTGTGAAATTGGAATGTGTGTGAATGGAGCGTGTAAATGTTGTTGTAATGATGCTGTGAATGGTTCAGCGATACAGTGGAGGTGAGGAAGATGAGGATGGTAGTAATACCTTGGGGAAGAGAAAGTGGTGGTGACACCAACAGTGAGCGTAGGTGCACCATGGGCCACACACTCTCCTCATGACTAGACCTCTGACCACTACCTTTTTGAGCGACCTGTGACTGCCTATGTGGTATCCGTGAGGCGGGGGTAATCGACGACCATTCATAGTGTGAAATTGTGATCACAATGTCACAGTGAGCGTGGTTAGGTGCGGTAAGAGCACGTGTGTAAATTGTTATGGTGTCGTGAGTGCATCGGTTATGAACTGGAATGAAATGCTTGAAATGTTACTTTAATTACCTGGACTTGAGTAAATATGCTAGAATACCTATAGATATGCATGGGGAGACTATGTTAGTAATGTGTGTTGGATAGTGTAGAATACTCACCCTTACATTTATTTTTCAGGTGACCAAGACGATCAGCACCGGACTTAGTGAAGAAAGGATGAACTGCTATAGGACTTAGATTGTATTTTAAAATTATGATGTAACTGAATTAGTCCTGTAGTAGTCTTTGATATAAATTGTAATCCTTTATTGTTTGAACTGTTTTATGAAACTCTATAATGGGATCGTTTATTCAATAAAATTTTTATTACTTGGAAATTAAATTTAAGGTGTTACATAGAGAAAAATTTCCCCTAGAATAATTTCAGAATCAATGAAAAAAAAACAAGCACTAATACGTTGTTCTTCACGTCATAAGATATTAGATAAAATTTTGGAAGCTTGTTAAGGATGTGGTTTAGCCAGCATTTCTTAAAATAGGAGGTGATATTAAAATTTTGGAATGAATATTATAGAATGACTTAATTTACGTGCATGGTGACAAGGTTCCTAACAATGAAAGAAATAGAAATAAAAAGAAAAAAAAATCTTTATCTAATTTATCTAATATGTCAAAGCACATACTTACAGAATAAGTATTTTGGGATGGGGAATTGGCTCTGCTTAATTTTTGAGAGAAGGAAGAAAAAAATTTCTTTAGCAGTTCGCGTAAAACTTAAATCAATCACATGCGGAAAGGTATATGATGACTTGAGAAAGAAATTTCACATTTTTCCTAAAGGAATCAAAGTGAAAAATTTCAGGTGTTACAACTTCTGCATCGCAAACTTTTTGCAATTTTCACTTAAGCGATTTTTTTCTAGCTTAAGCGAAAATTTCAGGAAAAAATGACTTAATAGAATTATTTTGCTTAGGTCACACAAAATATTATCATATTCTCTTAAGCGAAAAATATTTAGCTTTAGTGAAATTATATTACTGGCTTAAGCCAATTTTGATGAAATATTTAGGTTTGTTATTGTCTATAATTCACTTAAGCTATTTTATATTGGCCTAAGCAAGTTTTAGCGAAATTTGTTAGTTTATTATCGTCTATAATTTGCTTAAGCAAATAATGTATGGGTTAAGCAAAAATTACAATAAATGAATTTCATGTGTATTTTATCATTCAACCACATCTCTTTAGTAAGTACCTCTATTCTAATTACACCAAAGTGTTAATTTATTAGATAATTAGAATGAGTACATAATGTTTCTAAATTTAATTTGTTCTACTTATAAATATTACAGTTCAAAGGATGGTAAATCAAAGAGAGTATGGTTATACAAGTTTAGGGTAGATTTGAGAAATAGCTTTGCATGTTATTAAAGAGGGGAAAAAAAGAAGAATTGAAATAAGACTAGTAAACATTGAACTAAACTTATATGACAATATTTCAAGAGAAAATTTCTTGATTTAATTATAATCACTTAATTTATTGTTGAACAGTTATAAAAATATGAAAGAAATTTTTGAACTTGCTTAAGAAATAAAGAGGAGAGTGAATTTGAGAGAATATAATTGAATTTTACATGAAAGAATAATTATGTTATTAGAAGATAGTAGCTTTAAAAAAGAATATATTTTAAAGGACATGTTTTAAATATATAAGAGATTAAGATCTTGAATCTTTAAAATTTATTAAGAATTAAATTATAAATACTATAATTTTTAAAACCTATTATTACATATCATTTTGCTTATTAAGAAATTAATTTGTTATATAAATTCTATTACTCCTCTTATAACTCATTTTTATCAATTAAATGCACTTTTATCTTTCACTCAAATTTATTTTTATTTCTCTCTTTTTAACTATGTTTCTTGACACTTTATTACAAGAAACAGAATAATTTTTACAAAGGATAAAAAGTGAATTTATATATGGTTTCTTCCCTCATCTCTGAAATATTTTTTTTATAAATACTCTTTTTTAAAATATTACTAACCCTTCCTTTTTAATACACTTATAATATAATTTTTATTATAAATAAAATTATATATTTTTAATTAATATATGAGATTTATTAAACGAGAGATGTGACCCACGATATTTAATGGTATCTACAAAAATTTTAGATATGTTGACAAAGTACATTATTAAAAATCTACAATATTTTTAAAGATTTTAGTTATATTTTCCTTAAATTAAACATATTGGGACTTGGGAATATCTAACTACTAATTCAGTCTTTAGGTTGTATTTGAATGACAGATTTTAAAATTTCATAAAATATGAAATTAAAAAAAAGGGGTGCATAAAGTTAGAGTTAAATATAAAAAGAGTTATAAATGATAAATATAAAAAATTAAGCATAATAGAAATATTTTTAAATTATTTTTAAATACAAATCATTTAAAATTATTTTTATTTAACATAAAAATCATTTAGTTAAAATTTTATAGTATTTTAAACATATTTTTTCTTACTATCTAAATATATGTAATGTGTTAATTTTTAATTACTTATTTAAACACAACTTTAACGTTTTGTTTGGTAAAATTAATTAAAAGTTTATCACTTGTAATTGATAAATTAACTAAAAATGTATAACTACCTTGTTGAATTGGAACCACTGTTATTAAACTTAGATCAATTAATGACTCGAATAAGGGATTGAGTTAAGAATTTGAAAATTTTAACTTGATGTTAAACTGGTTCGATTTTGACCGAGTCATTGGTTTTGAGCTTTTTCATACTGGTGTGATTCGATTCACAAATAAAAACAGTTAGTGACAGGGATCGAACTAACCAGTTCAATCAAATTAAAAATAAAAATAAAAAATATTTAAAATTAGTTTCCAATAAATTGAATGTTACTTGAAGTAATGAAAATAAGATAGTTTTCAAAAATTATATAATTTTTACTTTTTTTGATCAAATAATTCAATTAACTTTTTAAAAGTAAATTATAAACTAATGCTTTAAAATTGTATTTCCAAACACAAATTAAAAGACGGGGGTAGAAGGAAGTGTGAAGAGGAATAAGAAAAAGGTGTTCATTCCATCCAAAGGTATTGAACTTTTTAACCAAAAGTTTACCAAATTGAGTAAAGTTAATGCGGCAACTGCTACCATAGGACTTCTATTATTAGCGTAACGCAACTCTATTCATCGACCCCACCATAGTGTTTGTGCTCAAAGCGCAGTGCCTGTTCCAATGGTTTTCCATCCCCACCAGAATCATAATCTCCCCCATTTTTAATGTCATAGAATATATTAAACATAAAATTCCTAGTATAATGATCATTGATCCACCAAGTCCTTTTTTTCTTGTTTTTAATTTTTACCTCAATTTATTCATTTTATGTTCCATTTATATAATAAGAGGAAAACCCCACTAATGCAATATATATATATATATATATATTGTAACAAAGAATGAAGTTTTGGCACTAAGGAAATCAAAATGAAATTAAGACTTTAATCAGGCACCATAATCAAAGTGATTATTAGGGTCAAATCATTATTTGATAAAATGACATGAAAAAACGAAGCATTTAAGTAGAAGGGTATCACATTTATATCCCAATTAAACCTACACAAAGGCCCTTTCGGATCTTTCCTTCACAGCAAGCTTGCTGGACACATCATCCTTCACATGAAGACAGAAAACAAAAGAAGACGAGAGCCCATGACCCTACCCAAAACATAGGAAACAACTAAGATGGTTCCTCATTCATCACTGTGTTTCACCACAGGAAGCCAAGACAAAAAGCACTAACCCATTTGAACAATCTGAAGCCAAAACTAGCTCCGCAGAGCACTGATCATTGTTAACAGAATTCATACCCATACCCTGTAATCATGAAGGACCAAATTTTTAGGACAATAATTAGTAGGAATTTTGGGAAGAGGAACCATAACTGGATGATGTCATAATATTGGAAGGAATAGACAAGTCTGATTGAACACCCACTTCGTCATCCATAGCTGGATACTGATTAAGATCAAAACTCAAAATATTTGAACAATTCTGACCATCTTCCACAGGTGAAGTTGCTTGAGCTGAATGAGCTTCTGCCATGCCAGTCCAATGAGATCTTTTGTGGTCCCCAGAGACTTGACCCATTGATAAAGTCTTGTTGAAAATTTTACACTGATGCCCCGTCATGGATTCCACAGTACAACACCCAACAGCAGTTCCTGTTTCATCCACTTGCATAGCTGTCTCCTCCTCTTCCTCTGTGGCTGACACACCATCTGTTTCCAATTCATCCATGATTTGAATGTTCTTGGAATTTTTATGGTTGGATAGATGACCCTCCAAAGCAATGTTACTTGGGAAAGTTGCATTGCTTATTCTGCTTCTAACCAACTTCTTGTCCTCCTCAGCTGTTTTCAGTTCAGTTAATTCCATTCTCTTTGTCTCTCTCTTCCTTTTCCTGTTCTTGTTCTTCATATCAGTGCTGCCATCACAATTTCCAAAGCTTGACTTTAACAACTCTTCTTCAAAACCCATCTTGTTCAATGACTTGGCTTCAACCTTGAGTTTCTTGCTGAGTGAAACTGGTGAAAGCTCAACCTTATTATCACCAGCCACCTTTTCCCCCCTCTTGGGGTTCCCACTTGCCAGCAACATGAGCTCATACACTGCCTCTTGCATACGTTGTTCAATCCCATGATGCTCTAAGCCGGAATTTACAGTGCCACAAGAGAGGCTTCTGCGGCCTCTCTTGGCAGTCACAGACCAACCCCACAAAGCTTGAGAGAGATCAACAGCAGAATCATCAGATAGAGTTGAGGAAGATGTGGAATTGGAGGATGCAACATTCTTAGGGGTGTTATTGTGAGGTTGAAAAACCTTCCTCAACCTTTGAGGGTGAGAACGCATGTGTGCAAATAAGGACTTCATGGAAGAGAAGCTCTTTCTGCAAAGGTAACAAGTGGGGTTGCCACTCATCAAGACCCATGTCTTGGCTTTGGTTTTTGCAGCACTAGTAGTGCCTTGTTTGGCCTTATGAACTTGCTTTCTAGAGATGTTGTGTATCCTCATGTGTCCTCCCAGTGCTTTACCTGAGCTGAAACCTTTGTTGCAGATATGGCACATCCAAGAATGATGCTCATTGTTGTCAAGACCTGCACTAACACCAGCACCAGGACCCTTCTTCATCTTCTTCTTTAATCCCTCTGACCCATCTCTTTGTTTGGTGTCACCACTAGCCAAAGACCCTTGATTTTCCAAATGGCTATTATAATTCTGAGCCTCTTGGTCTTCTTCCACGGAACTAGAAATTAGTCTTCTTTTGTTGGGTGATTAATGGTGAGAGTGCACTTACTTGCACATATCTAGAAAATAAGGAAAAAGACACTAAAGGGTGTGGTAATCATAGACACATGATGAAGATGAAATTGAAACAAGGGCCGGGGTCAGATCAAAGGTTGTGTAGCTTATGCACCGAGAAAATAATACTGAGTCACTTCTGTTTTTGGTAAAACGCAAAGAAAATAAGATAATCTAGGAATTCGGATTTTCTCCACCAAGGAAATTGACTTGATCCATTGGGGTTATCGAAACTGAAGATTCACAAATGGTTGAAAGAAATGAGAAAGGAAGAAAAGCTCTTAAGAATTAAAAGTCGAAAAAATGGATTGAGGAAAAAGCTGGGTAAGAAGAAGTAGAGATGCTACCTTGCAATTTCAGAACAAGACAACGTACGTGGCTTGTGGTTTTGATGAGTCACATAGAGAGTGGTGTCTGTTCTACTATAATTAAAACCCTTTTTTTAACTTGTTTGTGGAAAAATTGGGCTGTCACGTTCTTGGGACCTTTACCTCTTATTGTCTTTCACAATGCCTTATGCCCCACCTTACATAAATGCATTTAAAACCAAAACCTTTGTGATTTTGATTCAACGAATAAAAATGACGCCATTAATCTTGCAACTACACGCCGAATGATTACCTATTTTTATTGTTAGATTGTGCCAAATAAATTGTGTGATATTAAAATATGAGCTAGTGCACTAAACGCATTAGTTAATATATTAAAAGTCGTACAATTTAAACAAAAGCCACTGATTATTAATAATTAAAAAATATTTTATTATATAATTATTTTTATGTTCGTGAAAATTATTTAAAATTAGAAATTGAACGAAAATTCTTTTAAAATATATAATAATTAAAGTGGTATGTATAACTAGTTAATATAAAATATAGGAAGTATAATTAAAAGAAAAATATTTAAAATCATAAAAATGAAAAATAATTAATTTAAGACAAATGCTATATAATGTCTTATTCCAATGGGTAAAAAAAATAGGAATTTCATATTAACAAGATATTTTTAATGTCAAATACTTTTAAGTAGTTAAAAATATTTAATAAAATATACTAAATAAGCAATTAACAATACCTTTTTACCCGCACCATAAATAAAATTGTTTAGATTTAATATTTTAGATATATTTTATGTTTGATAAATAATTGTTTACAAATATTTCAGTTAAAAGTTGAAGCAATGTTTACAATCACAATATTGTATAAAAGAATACGTGATAAACAATTGCATATAATCAAAAAAAAAATTTAGTTACAAATAATTAATATATATAACAATCCTATAAAATAATTGAAAGATCCGTTAGGACAAACTTATTTTACAATGTAATTATCTTAAATTTTAAATATTATTATTTTTTTATGTTTATTAAATAAATTTTTAAAAACTGATCCCTAAAAGATAGAAAATTCTTTAATTTGGTCCTAAAAAAATTAGAATTAACCCTTAGATTTATAATTTATCATTCATTTAATTTCCTTTATAATAATTTGAGATTATTTTTAAAATAAAATAAAATAAATACCTAATTATAGATGTATTTTTTTTTGAAAAAAAACTCGAACAATATCATCTTTTCTATACTACATAAGTCACATCATGATAAAACAATTTTAAATGTCACATAAGTCGCATTAGTTTAGTGCAACTTAGGTCAAGTATAGTACGTACTAACAGTGAGTATAGTCATACTCATGTATAAATCGTAACAACGTGGTACAACTTGTGTTCTAATGTAGAACTCTAGTCAAGTATAATAGGATTGCGTCTATGCTCGACCTTAAGGTGTATATTAGTCACCATAAATCACATCATTTTAACTAAGCACAATTCGGCAAGTTGTGCATAATCATGCAAGTTGTGCACATGATTGTGCTCTAGTTTATATAAAAGTTGAATATTAGTTTAACTTTTGTTTACTAAAAGTTTAGAAAAATTATTACAATTAAAACAGAGAGTGTGAAAAAATAAGAAAATCTCAATCATTAGAATAATAATGGACACAAACCTGTGAGATTGCAAGAATTGGTAAAATTATAATATTTTGTGTTTAAATGTAATTTTTTTATATTGTTAAATTGTCAAACCTGTATAATAAATATACATTTTTTTTTTTTACAAATGGTGTTGTAATCATTTGATTATGATGTCTTTGTATTTTGAATGCGAGGTTGTATATTGATTATGGTATGAGATGGCTTGAATTTATTTATGTATGAGCTGTATAGTTGCTAAGTAAAAAGCTGATGCATGTTGTGTGGGTTGATGGTTCAGGTTGATGTAGAAATGTAGGATATCTCACTGTAGCAAGATAACTCTCGCTATAGCGTTTATAATTCATTAAATGTAAGTTAAATGATATGTTCAAATTAAGTGTAAGAGTTTTTAGACTTACACGAGTGTGAAAAGATCTCGCTCATATATATATATATATATATATATATATATATATATATAATATTATTGATTCTTTAAGAAAGTGGTCATGACATAAATTATGTTTCTAAATACAATTATTATTTTTATTTACTTAGGTGAGTGTTATGTATTTTAATTTGATTGAAACTATAAAAATTATTTTAGCAGTTTAATATAAGGTATTAAATGTAATACTACCTCATTGAGTCATTCATGCTAGGCGTAAATCGATATCAATTAACTCACTAGATTAGTGCATGTGCTTGTTGAGTGGTGGCGCCTAGAAACACTTTTTTGTTTTTTATATAGGAAGTGTACAATCACACTTAAGATGTTGCATTCAAGTTAAGATTGCAAGTAAATGGCTTCGATGATAGTGGATACACAAATTATTGGACAAGATTCTATGGTTGTGATATATTAGCATTGTGTGAGGACATGCTTGGAATTGTCCTATCACGAATTAACATGAAATATAATTGTGTGAATCTTTCGTGATTTAGTGTAAATTTTCAAGAACTACCACAAAATGCTAATTTAGAAACAATATTATATTCTTGGACATATTGTATGCAAGTAATTAGGAAATTTTTGTTTGTAGACAAGTTTGGTACTAGAGTTCATCTGAAATGACTCTTGCATTTGAGTGATTTGCATAGTACTATATTCATAGTTGGGAATTTGCTATTTTAACATTTTTCTATTGTTCATTATGTCATATCCACAAAAACAAAGTTATAGATATTGATGGTTATTAGGGTTTCTTACAGTCATGGGTTGATATAAAGTGTATAGTTTATAGTCGTGTGTTCAATTTCCATTCAAGTTTCTACTAGCAACAAGGTAAAACAAGTAAATAATTAATATTTTATTATTATTTACTATTATGTTTCTACAAAGTAAATTTTTTGTAATAATCGATAATTGATGGTAGGTGGCAGAGTTTTAAATGTACACATGATTCACACAATGATTGGTTGGTTGCAACTATGACACAACTTGACACAACTGGTGTTAAAAGGGTAAGCAAAGTGTAACTATGTTGTAGAATTAAAAATTAAATGACATTAATAGTATATTAATAATTGTGTGATCTACAGCTAACTCCTTTATTTCTTGAATGCACGGGTAACTATCTTAATTAACTATAAAGTGGGCGAAGAGAAGAGAGGGGGCACCCCTACTTCCTCAGCCCAGCATGAGCCCGATCGTATCGTGACGGTTAAGATGCTTTCTGGTTCTACCCCAACGGTAGCACAAAAAACGTATCGATGACAAGCAATTTCTTGTAAGTTGAGTGAGTGATTCACGGGGTATGGAGCACAAACGAGGAAGCCTTAACTAGGATTTACTGGATAAGGTGAAGGCCATATAATCACTCAACAATTAGACAGATCACACCTACCTTTATATATGATGACAATGGTGTTTTGACGTTTGCCACCCTTCTCATTTGTTTTGCCATTATTGAATGACATGCTACAAATAATGTACTACCTCAATTTGCCAGAACCCAACACATTCCACTCATGCAATGAACATTGACGGGTTTCATAGAAGCAATGGACGTGGGTGCAAGGTCGAACATGATGGTCGTTTGATGTTGATCAACACATTAAGGTTACTATAGTTGTAGACACTCGTCCATCACATTAGTACATGCGTTACTCGAGTTTGCCCACAAATTTTTGTCTATAGTTCGTCTACTTGAAGCATTGGCTCATTTACTATATGATATCCCAAGCACAAAATTAGCAAATCTAATGATCACCTATCCATCTGATGTTCTTGATCATAGAGGTGCAGCTCATCATCTTCATGTTGGGACCTATACTAATAGACATTATTAGTATCCAGGTGATGGGGATGATGATAATGAATGCAACGATGATGATGGTGGTTAAATGGTAATACACAAAATGAGCCATGTAACAATCACCAAATCATGCACCCCAATGACAACACCTGTAAGGCATGTGGCAACTACCACAACATGCACCCCATGAATGATATACATAATATAAATATATCGACAACTAAACTATTGATGTTTTTGTGTTTTACTAATTATGAACAAGATCAGGACATGAACAAACCTATAGGAAATGTTATTATTACACCTACAATTCATACTCGTGATTGCTATCAACCAATGATGCCTTCATTGTCATTCTTGGAGGAACTCCAATGTCTGCATTTTCACAATACACTCTATGTAATAGGCGGTCATGTAGGAGATTTAGACCATCGTAATCTACATGGAGGAATTAAGCACTAGCATGTCCAACATGAAGATGGTCATGTCTCACATGGTTTGGATATCAAATAATGCAAACTTGCATATCTCATTTGATATCAAGATGGCATAGGTTGTTAGCTCCCAAGACTTAGGCGAAATTAAATTACTTGTTTATGTGCTCTCCAATTTTATTTATATTTTATATTGTATGTAATGTTAATGACGTTGTTATGTATTATTAAGGTTATTGGTATTAAGTATTCTAAGTTTAAGAATAGCCAATGGCACCCTAAATTGCATTTATATATAATAATGCGTTGAAATATAGAACGATAAATACAACTAAACCATATAATTATGTGTTGCAATATAACTATTTGTGACTACAAAAATATAAAAACATAGTCAATAACAATATATAACATCCTAAACAACGAACATATAAAGGGTCTCAATGAAAACATAAAATAAATATCTAAACAATAAATAAAAGTGGTTAAAGTATCTTTTCATATCTAGGAGGGCAATGGATGCTACTATTACAAGAGTTGTAGGATGGTGGATAACTAGGACTGTGTAGTAGCAAAATGATGCTCCTGCAGCTCTTGAATTGCTAGCTGATCAAGTGCAAAGCGATCTAGGTGTTTCATATGAACCCTATTTGCACAAGGGCTGACTTAGGATCTTTAGGGTTA